CCCATGTTGGGGGAGAGCTATGACACTTATATTGGGGAAACCTTTCCCTGGAGCAGGACTGTAAGCTGACACCTTTATGGTGACTTTTATGGTCAACTCCAGCTCCCAACTGCCAGGATCCCTTTCCATCTGAGCTGCAATGCTTACGTAAACTACTAGACTTTCTTCCAAAGAAGATATATCCAAGAACAGTTGTGAGTACCGCTGAATTAGTGGAATATCCCTCTCTTTAAATAACATATAGAAATCAGGACTCCATGGGCAGATCCAAGGCTTTGTGTGAGAAATGTACTATTACAGAAATCAGTTTTGTTCACTATGGCAATGGGTGTCACAGACAATTCTCTGGATTCAACTCTTGCTATCCTGTTATCTACACAACAGCCATATCATTTTTAAACCTTGTTCATATTTATTTATTTGTGTGTGTGTGTGTGTGTGTGTGTAGGTCATAGGACAACTTGTGGGAGTTGGTTCTCCCCTTCTACTATACGAATTCTGAGCTCCAAACTCCAGTTTTCAGGCTTGGTAGTAAGTGCCCTAACTGAGCATTTTGCTGACCCCCTACCTAATTCTTCCACAAGTGTGTTTGTATCATTACACGTCAGTGGTTTACCACACTTGACATGAAATCCACACTCTATTGGCTCCATTTGAGACCCTGTCTGCGCCTCACTGGACTCTTACATCACAGATCTCTCCAGCTCACTGGGCCATTACAAACACTTTGGGGCCCAACTAAGCCAGAGAAATAAACCCACCCTCAAACACTTGCTATGTCTCCTATCTGGAAAGTTCTCAGATAAGTCTTTCATTTGACTCAAGTGTCTGCTGAACTGCTATCTCATCCGTGGCCTTTCATAATTACCCAATCTGAAAATATCACCTCTGCCCTAGTTCCAACACTCCCAATCCCTTATGCTGACTCACTGTCTCTATCTCCCTTAGACTAGCTGATGTCACATCCTCAGCTGTTTACAGACGGCCTAATCACTTCACTCTTCTCACTGCAGCATTCCCCAAGGTCTAGCAAGGCTGGCATATAGTAGGATCCTCCGTGAACTCAAGTTGAATGAGTGGATGGATTTTAAATGTGCCAGGCTCTGTCACACACATTAGGGTACAAGTGGGAGGGATGAACATGGCATCATTTTTCTCCTCTAAGGAAAATTTAAACAAAACAAAACAAAAAAACCAGCACTGGAGGAGACACATGTAGAGAACTGAGAGAATGGAAAGTGCTATGAGCTTAAGGTGTTTGCAGAGAACTGGAATAGCTGCAGGAAAAACAGGGCGGAGTTAAACTCCATATGAAGAGCCCCAAGCTTCAAAGCTAAGAAGTTGTATCTTCATCTGATTCCACAGTGTGAATCCCTGATTAGAAATGAAAGGAGGAGCCAGCGGTGGTAGTGCACCCCTTTGATCCCAGTACTCAGAGGAGGCAGAGGCAGGTGGATCTCTGTGAGTTCAAGGACTCTCTGGTCTACAGAGTGAGTTCCAGGACAGGCTCCAAAGCTACACAGAGAAACCCTGTCAGCAACAACAACAACAAGAGAAATGAAAGGAGACATGCCTAGATACAGAATTAGAATTGACCTAACTCACTATTTAGACAACACCAACTGAGTTGTTCTATGTTTCTAGAAAATGCCACTGGCCAGAGAAGAGGGAAAACAAGTTAGAAAACACAGTTCACAAATCTGGCTTGGGTCCAGGAGAGTCTGAGGCATACTGATCACCACAATTGGTCTTATGCTCCCCCTAATAAGGAAACCTGACTTGGAAACCTAGGTGCTGCCTTCTCTGTCAAGGGTCAATGTCCTGACAGGGTAGGGCCACAGGAACCATGCAGGGGTGCCACCGTGTTAGCTGAGAGCAACACAGAAGCCACACTCAGCTCTATCAGTCTGCAAGCTCCAAATACTCTTTATGGTGAAAACAAGGGGTACGTGGTTGGCAGTGAAGTCTGACACAAAGGCAGAGATTTCCTGGGGATTTTTCCTAGTCAGTGGGTTGAAAGTCCAATTCTAAATGAGGAGAAAACATTATTTACAATTTTAAAAACACAAAAAAGTTCAGAACCTACTTTCACAGTCAAGGACAACTGTGTGCAACATAAGACAGAACTGAACATGACAAATTCAGAACAAAGGTGTTCAGAACCCTAAAAGTCTGGCTAAAGGACTGACTCATTGGTGGCTGATGTTGCCCAAAATTCCAGTGGTCTGTCTCACCTCTCAATTAGTGCATCATCCTCGACATCATCACCTCTTCTCTCGTCAGAAAGTACAAAGGAAGAAGGGATAACAGGATGGATGTCAGGATTCTTAAAGTCAGAATGATTGGGGGTGGGGTGGAACTTGGGCTTTGATTCTAAGGAGTGGAAAAATGGTTAAAGGGAAACCATTTGGCTAGTGGATGCTGGAGAGAGGGGGCCAAACTCATAAGAGTGGAACACCAAAACAAGGAAAGTTAGGGAGGGAAAGTACCCCCATAACAAGATCTTTTCAAAATGGTACATAAATAAAACTGTCCCACAGCAACAGTCAATTAGCTAGAAATGGGGGTGTGTGTGTAGGTGTGTGTTAGGGTGTGTGTCTGCAGAATAGTACAAAAGGTTTAGTCTTCATGATGAGAGCCAGGGATGGTATTCATCAGTGTACACTTCTTACTCTATCAGTTTGTACCATCTACCCTCTTCCATACCTGTAGTGCCACATACACTGGGAGAGGTGACGGACAGTAGAGGGGGAGGGGGGTGCTTAGGACAACAGTCAACTTCCAAAGGTGGAAACTAGACTGAGGACCTTAAGGGATCCTTAGCTGCTTGCATTCAAGTCAAAATTACCTGACTAATCCAATCCCATCACAGCGACTTACCCAGCAATGCTAGGGCCAATTTAAGTTTTCTAGGACAACAGAAACCATGACCGAGACATTATTTTCTTCTGTGAGAGGAGCTAGGCTCCCTAGTTGAAAAAGTTCATTTAAGCCACCTAGCACATAAAGCCACAGCTGGGGCTAGAACCCAGGCCGCCTCCTCCAGCACTGAATTAGCTTTGCAGACAGCATTCCAACTGGTTTATTGCTGTTGAACAATTTAAATAAATAAAGTACTACAGTGGTGGCAGTAAGTACCAGAAGGACACCAACTTAAAAAATGTAACGAGAAACAGATTTGGGGGAAATTCCCTGGTAGCAAAATAAAAGAAATTAGTCCCATGGTTAAGAAACTTCCTCAGAATAAGACTGAAATCATAAAATATCTCTATTCTGCAGGAAGTCTGACTTACCGAGTTATATTCCAAGGCTATAAATTTGCCTGTGTGTGCAAATTTTGATGGAAAGCCAGAAAGTGACCTCACAAAAACAAAATAAACTGTAAGGGAAACAAAACAAAACAAAAACCCTAGGAAGCTTAATGTGAGCTGTCCTTCCCTCTGTAAAGGAAAAGCGTGGGAAATGTTTTCAGTGGGCTTTTAGGGAGAAAAGGTGAAGAGTCAAAATGTTCCTAAGTGGAAAGTGGGACTACAGTTGTCAGTCGAGAGGGTGTATGCAAGGAATCCCAAACATCACTATTTCTGAAGCTGATTCCTCTCAGAGCCAAGGCAACAACATTGTTCTTTTCTTCAACTACACAGCAGGGCCCACCAGTTCCATTTCAAATTCTACTTCAGTTATAAAACTGTCAAACCAGCCAATTGTCAAATTACCCAAGTAAACTTTACCAGAGTGAAGGCTGTCTCCCTGGTGAGGTCAGCCGGAACCCTTCCCTTTCTACCTGTGGAAGTCTGACTTTATGATCTGGGAAAGGGTTTAATCCAACACCAGGAAAACACTCAGAGACAAATTCAACAGAAATGCTCCACCTGCATTTTTGTTATCTTGATGGAAGATGGTTTACTATCCAGCCATTCTTCGGCTCAGGCAACTCAGTCTACCAGAGAGAAACTCAAACAGCTGCTGGTTCCATCATCAGAAGCTGCCCAGAGTGACAGCTCTAGGTCCATGGGAAGCAGCCTCAGTGCTGGCCTTAGTCTCAGGCATGGCCCTGCTCACTGTGTAGATTTGGTTATGGTGCCTCAGGGGCGACAGCAGCAAGCTTGGGCTGTGGCCAGGGTAGTGGTACCTCCTACTGGTGCACTCAAGTCCAGTGGGTAGGGAGAAATGGTCATTCCCAACTGCACACAGGGAAGTCACAAGTATGTTCCACTCAGAAAAACACAGACACCAAGAACAAGGGAAATTGATCAAAACCAAGGAAAGATGTTTATCAAAGTAAAGATGTTTATCAAAGTAAATAGCTCACTTTTGAAAATCCCTGCTGGGATTAGAGATTGGGAAATGAGACTCGCTTTGGATTCGACTAAAACTCCATATAGACTTACTGAGAAACTCAAAGACAGCCACCCACTGTTTTACGTGCCACATATTCCATAAGATGGAATCATACCGGTCCCACCACATTCTACCTGCTTAAATTAATGAGGTATCACTTTCCCCCAGCCAAAGTCATTATAGAACAGCTGTCTGAACTCTACATGTCAAAATCTGTGAATATATACTGATAAGGTTCCAGGTCTGGCTGGGATTTGGGGAGGAGAACAATCCTCCTACCCACAGCACCTAGGCCAACTGCCAACAATTCGCCTTAACAAATAACCAACCAATATATCCCCCCCACCACCACCACTCCCAGTTACTCAATAGCCTTCCCTCTCTGAAAATGTCTGTTTGCTTTCTTATTACCTGAAAACAGACCACCGTCACTCAGTCTTAATTCTGGAGGAATCTTGTATCAAACGGGCAACAAACACAATATTCTCTCAAATCTGCAGGAGCTTCAGTCAGTCCCATGGGGATGTGAGGCTTCAAAACTAACTAGTATGCTTTGATTTCAACACTTGGGTATATTTTATTTCCAAACAACGACTAGATAGACAGAAAAATGATGCAAACCCATCATCACTGGATCTTAAGACTATGTGTACTCTACTTGCTTGTATTTTAAGACCAGCCACTGAATTAACCAGAGTCCTACAAGGATCATGCCGTTAATTTCGCAAATAGAAAAGGCCCACTGCACCCGGTTAAAATGGTCAAAAAACGTGTCCGGTAGTGGAGGCTGCACCTCCTTAGGAGGTACTCGTTCATGGACGACCGAGATCATCACTGTAGTGAGAACAAAACAGGAAAGTGCATAAAGAAAGGCCAGAAGAGTCTTGCCCCACTCCATGGGGTACTGAGAGCGCTCTGGTTCTGGCATGGGGATCTTGATCATCTCTTTCCTATACCCATTTGGCATTCCATTGGGTTTCATCTTGATGCTGAAGCTGCCGCCATCAGGGTTGGGAATGTCGACGCCAACGCTGAGGTGCCCATTGGCGTGGCCGTTCTTGTGCGCTTCCATATGGTGCTCCATCTTCAGGGTCTCGATCATGTCTAAGAGCCGCTGCCCGTTGTCAGATGAGACTCGGCACAGTGGGGGTTTTGTGAAATCCTCTTGGGTTAGATTGATCAAGTCCCGGCCTGTGAAATGTTCTAGAGGCTCACAGTATTCAGGCATAGCATTCTCCAGCAGCCAGTCTGCCACCTTCTTGGGTGACCAATAAACCACTTCCTTCATGGTACTGGCAGACAATACGCAGTACCCCCAACTTGCTCTCAGACGTCAGCAGTCACTGTTCGTACAGGGCAGGACACTATCCCTCCTTGGCCGGTTCATCTTGTTGGATCTCATGAGCCGAGACTCAGTTGGCAAGATGGTCAGGGCAGTTTAAAACACTCCGTGTAGTGGTGTCCGAACGTTAATTCGCCTCATTTCTGAATAGAATCTTCCTTCTGTGGGAGGAAAAGAGAAGGTCAGACTCATGGGACTTCTACATCGGTTTCTTCAAAATGCAAAGAGGCTCGTCGTCGGGGTGTGTAATGAAAGTGGGAGGCAGTCATCAGCAAACGGTTTAAATGTGTTAGTTTCAAGCATTGCCAATTCCCTGGTTGTAAGGCTTCCGTGACAGATCATTAAATTGGATCTGAGAATGTGTAAGGTCAGGGACAGCAGTGGATGGATCTCCCAGGGAGACTTATCAAGAAGAACTCAACAGCGTCTGGACCCTGCTCAGTGGGCGCCATTGATTCTCTCTGTACCCCACACACTTTCAGGACATAATATGACAGAATCTGGCAAACTTGTTTAACCCATCAATCTCTCTGGTGAGGAATGCTGAAAATGAACACAATATGTGACATCTGAGGTATCACAGAAGAAGATCACAGAAATGCTGATCTTAAGATCATCTGGTCCAATAATTTTCCAAGCTTTTCTGCCCCCCACTAGTTTGTTTTGTCTAAACATGTGTGAACCCTAACATAGAAAAGGGTACCACTGTGGCTGACTGGGTTGACACACACAGACAGAGCCCAGGATCCTCGGACCCTTGATACTTCTTTCTAGATCCCCACTTCCGCAGATCCCCATGATTTGAAAAAAGAGGACTTGATCAGCCTCTTATCTATAAAAGAGGAATGAGTCCTATAAAAGTCAAAGGACTTGCCCACAGTTGAATGTATAGAGGGGATGTAAGTCCAGTGTATGTGTACATTAAAATACTTAACCAGTAGTGTAACAAAGGCTTTAGGGAGGACCCTAATGGAAGGATGCACACATATGTAACAGATGCAAGCACAATTCTTGACTGATGCACAGCATTGCAGGAAAAAAGTGGGAAGACACAAACAAGCTAGAACACACTTGATGATTCTGAGTGTATTCCCATTTTTCTGCCAGACTTCAATTTACTTTTATAACAACCATAAAAAAAAAAAAACTCAAAGCAGAAGACCCAACTTCATATGAAAGCAACAACTATGAAACCTGACTTTGGTCCCAGCATCTCTCCTGCTTGCCCTGCTGTCTGGGCTTCAGCTTGTTCATCTTTAAAATGGATACAGTAACAATAAAAATATTTCCTTCATAGGGTTGTTGTTATCAATGACTGTGTCTATATATGAAAGTGGATGACACAGCCAAGCTCTGTAAGTAGTGATTTTTCTGAGGAGTTTCTTGGTGCACGTCTTTTTTTATCCTTTTTCAAATTGTCAATCATATTCGAAGGCCTCTGTCCACCTTATCTCCCACTAACAACAAACCCCACCAGCTGAATTTCTTTCTGAAATGATTATTGTTGTGTTAACGATAGAAGACTTTCTTTCCACAGACCTAAGAGTTTAAAAGCTGGAAATTATGAGTGACACCATTTCCCTAAGAATGTGTTCATGGAATAGTATCTGGTAAAGTGTCTAGTACTTGAAAAGGATAGTTCTTCCACCAAGTACACTCAGTGCACACTATCATCTTCCCACTGTGCACATATTAGGATGTTAAACACTTGAAGCATTCCCAAATAGAGAAAACGCTTACCGGAAATTCTCAAATTGACTTCCTTAAGTTTACCTACTCTCCCTGACCCATTTCCTTTCCAAATAGTCTCACACTGAACCCTCAATTTGACTCTAGATTGAGAACAGACAGCACGTGTCTTCCCAATTTCCAATTTCTTATAGTACCAACAGCAGAACCAACCCTATGGACACAACCAAGTCCCTCCTAAGTACTGTGGGTGCTGTATACCGTCCCTGCCACTCTCTCTCTCCTACTTAAGCACTTGCAGACTCCCAGGAGCAGCTGAGTGCCTTGCAAAGTCAGCTACTGCAAGCAGCCACAGATTTCATGTCCCCAAGGCTCAAAAGTCACTCAGTCAATAACTGGTCAATGACTTCACAACATCCCGAGCATTGTGCCGTCTGTTTAATGGAAAATAAGCCCAATGATGTCACTAATATTAAAATGTCTTTTAAACTACCTTGAACAATCAAGGAAATTACGATCATTTTTCAGAGAGAAAGTCCATGTGACTTCTGCATACTCATAACCGTTGCAGAGGAACCCCAACTGCAGTGTGATGGGGAGGTCTGCACATATGTTTCTCTTATTGGTTGATGAATCAAACACTGTGGCCAATAGGGCAGCACAATAGTCGGGTCTAGGAGATGAGAAGGATTCTGAGAAATGTAGGCAGAGGGAGTTGAGATGTAGGACGCCAGAGGAGTAAGAGGTCCCGGGACCTTTCTCCATGTGGTAAGGTAAGACCACATGGAAATACATAGGTTAGCAGTTATGGGTTAGAAATTAAGTCAGAGCTAGCCAATAAGAAGCCCTAGACATTGGCCAACAGTTTCATAATTAATACAGAATTAGTGTGTTCCTTTGGGACTGATGCAGCTGTGAGACCAGGCTGGCAGGAAAGAGCACGGCCTAGAGTGCCAAAGGCATGCATGCCAAACAAGAGTCCTTGCACAGACTGTAAAAGACAGAGGGTCTGTTTCTCAGGCACGAGACCCAAGGCCTCTCCTCGAACACTCCCCAGCAGATCTAGGGTAACTGTCTGTGAAACTCTCAATATCTGCAAGAGAATGCTAAAGAAAAAAATCTCCATTTCATGCTGAGGCCCAAGGGGAAAGGACACTGGCTTTCCCCTAAGTTCCTCAACCCCCAATTCTTGCCCATTACAGGAAGCGTGCCAGCGTCGGAAACTCTCAGAACCACAGACTACATCAAGGCCAAGACATTTATCAGACATTTATCAATACTCTCTGATAGAGAAATAGACAAACCATTTCTTACCAGGAGTTAACAAACTTCAAAACAGAAACAAGTCAAATTAAATTGTGGGAGACAATTTAATACAGAGCCAGACATCTATCTGGCATGGCAAGCTCTTCAAGCATCAACTAAATAGAGGAACAGGAATCCTGCAAAGTCAAGTCCATCAAATCGTTGGAACACTCCAAAGTGTGCTACAAGGTAGGCCAGCATCCTCCATTCTGTAGCCAATGGGACTACAAAACCATTCCCTCTTGAACACGAATCCTGAACTTTCCCTAACCTGGAATCCCTTCTTCTCCTTGATCTTCTACACCCACAGGCCTTTCTACAGCCACCAAGTCCCTTCCTCACTAATATCTGTGACACACAACAGAATCTAACCATCCGGTGTGTTTATGTAGGAGACCATTCAGATGATGCTCTGGAGGAGAAGCATGTCAGGCAGCCAACACTGGTGCCTTAGTGAAGTCCTTTACCTGTTCCTAGGCTGTTTTGACTGAAAAACAAACCTAATAACTACCTCACCCACCTTCGCACAGGCTACAACCATCCTGAGAACACAGCCACATTAAAGGAGTAAAAGCCACATGTTTCTCAATTAAGCATGTTATTCTATAAATAGCATCCTACCATCTTTTCCAGTGGCCACCTGGGCCCGCAGTGACACTTCACACATGTTTTTGGGAGCTGTCACTTCCAGATAGAATTTCCAATGTCCTATCACTCTAACCCAGGGCTAAAGACAGTTTTCTAACCTTATGAGAAAACAAACCTTTATTTTTAAGCAAGCCTGGAAACAAACACTTGTGCTGTTTTCCTGCAGCCGATGCTGAAGTTAGGCAACTGGGAAAAGTCATTTCTGTGGAAGTGACCTAACAGACAAAGGTTTAGCTTTTCAATGGTCAATGCTAGCAACAGTGTTCAGAGAAAACGGAGTCTGGCTATAGATGCAGAAGAGAGAAAGTCATTGTTCCCCTGGCCTCTGTCAACTCAGTGGAGATTGAGTGAAGCATTTCCACATGGAGACAGGCAAAATGTCTTCACAGCGGGACCTAGAAGGCAGGTCAGCTTAGTTAACAGCCATCATCCTCCAGAAAAAGTTAGGCTGAACTCATACACTGCCCAGCTTATTGGACTTATTGTACAAAAAAGGGAAGAAATACAAGACAAATGAAAACGATATAAACATTTCCTCCTGAAATATTCCAGAATTTGAGAGCAAGAGAGAAGGTATGGGAACTCTCATTCATCTCTACTTCTTAGAGACGATGTAGAATCAGATTTTGATTTGTTTAAAATTTTATTCATAGGGAAGAACTTGGCTCTACAGCCAAGGAGCTTTGCAGGGCACACCTGTTGCAGAACAGTCAATAGCCTTGAGCATGGAGGATGGGGTCTGAAAGTGCTCAGCAGTGGGGCACTCTATTACTTAAGGACAGACCAGCAGCACGTGTTCACTACAGGACCCAAGTCCAGAAGGACTTTCTATTTGATCTTAACCAAGTGAAAAATAATTATACAAAACTCAACTGGGCTCAGATTCTTAAAATAGATTTTAGTCTTTAATATTATAAAAGCCTTTCAATGATATGCCACACCACCATACAATAAATATTATAGTTAATTATGAAAGCCAGACCTTCAAGGAAGAAAATATGAGCTAACACAATCATTCTGGAAATGTGAAAACGATTCAACCAGGCAAAACCCACCAAATAAATCTTTCAGGACTATTTGCTTATACATCTTCAAAGGAAGCTATTGCATGGCTTTGTCACCCAGAAAAGCCTAGAAATAAAACAGACTTGTGCTAATAAACACCTAACAGAATTAAGAGGGATACAAGGGTTTTAAAAACTAAGGCATTGCCGAGCAGTGGTGGCACACATCTTTAATCCCAGCACTCCTGAGGCAGAGGCAGGAGGATCTCTGTGAGTTTGAGACCAGCCTGATCTGCAAGAGCTAGTTCCAGGACAGGGTCCAAAGCTACACAGAGAAACCCTGCCTTGAGAAAACAACAACAACAACAAAAAAAAAAACAAACAAAAAACCAACACTTAAAGCATTATGCCAGCAATCCCAGTACTCAGGAGTCCGAGGCAGGAGGATGGTGAGCCTGGGACCAGCCTGGGCTACACAGCAAGACCATGTCTCATAAATCTTAACAAAAACACAG